TTCATTGAATTTTTTATCAAGTTTTCGTTCTTTTATGTGATTTTTATAAAATCAGGTAATTATTTACCGTATTATTTTACTTTTACATTTCCATCGTCAATGCATTATATTGCTGTGAGTAAAGAAGATGAAGCTGATTTGACTAAAAAGCAAGAAGAAGAAGAAGAAGCTGAAAAAGAAAATGGGGGTCATCTCAGCCTGGTTTCAACCGTCGGCAGCTTGGTTTGCACTTTACGTTTAGATGAACAGCGAAAGAAATCAGTTGGTAGCGGAGCTTGTCAATTGTCATCTACGGGTATTATTATGGGAAAATTTCACTGTAGGACCGCAGAAGACAATTAATCTCAAAGAGCCCCCAAAACTTTCTGAAACCTCACTGCAGGACTAAGGGGCCAATCTGATATTAATTTCACAAACGAAATGACGCCACTGCCCCTAGTAGAAACTTATTTCCTTGAGGGAACAAGTACGGGAGAGCGCATTTGCAAGAGGAATTAGCCAATTTGCAGAATAAATACATATATTCACACGTGGAATCAGTCCGTTCACATGTGGACTGGTTCAGCTGAAGCATGTGTCCGTGAGGGAACAAGTGCGGGAGAGCGCATTTGCAAGGGGAACTAGCCAATTTGCAAAATAAATACATATATTCACACGTGGAATCAGTCTGTTCACATGTAGACTAGTTCACCTGATGCATGCGTCCGTGAGGGAACAAGTGCGGGAGAGCGCATTTGCAAGGGGAACTAGCCAATTTGCAGAATAAATACATATATTCACACGTGGAATCAGTCCGTTCACATGTGAACTGGTTCACCTAAAGCATGTGTCCGTGAGGGAACAAGTGCGGGAGATCGCATTTGCACGGGGAACTAGCCAATTTGCAGAAGAAATACATATATTCACACGTGGAATCAGTCCGTTCATATGTGGACTGGTTCACCTGATGCTAAGGGTAGTGGCGTCATTTCATTTGTGGAATTAATATCAGATTGGCTCCTTGGTCCTGCAGTGAGGTTTCAGAAAGTTTTGGAGGCTTTTTGAGATTAATTGTCTTGTGCGGTCCTACAGTGAAATTTTCCCTATTATTATTGTATTCGACTATTCGTTCATAACCAGCACTTTTCACACCCCCGAGAGAAACGCAGAGATATTATACAGGGTTAATATAAATTATCACAATTTAAATCAACCTTTATTTTAGTTTTAATTTTAGTCTTTTAAATTTAAGATATTAATTTTTAAAATTTAATAAAAGTTTAGATTATTTTACTTTTTAAGAACTAGTAAAATTTATAATTTATAATTTTAAAAATAAAAATAAAAAATAAGAGCAAACTTCAAGTGTCAAACATTATATTAACCCTATATATATACCGTTTATTTCACGGCCTCTGCTAATCTCTCTGCCATTAGCCCCCCCCAAAGAATATTTGGGGGTGGAATTAGGGCTGGGGTTTGATCGGCATACCCCTGAATGGCCTCGACCGACGCCGTTTCGGACTCTGCCCTCTGCATAAACGACGTTCTGACGGATGATGAGCTCCGGTCCATCCTGGCCAGGCTCGACAACGACAGGGACAGGGATATCTTCGGGCTCGTTTGTAAGAGATGGCTTCACTTACAGAGCACCGAGAGGAAGAAGCTTGCTGCTCGTGCGGGGCCCCACATGCTCCGCCGAATGGCTGCCCGGTTCACCCGCTTGGTCGAGCTCGATCTCTCTCAATCAAGTTCTCGCTCTTTCTATCCAGGGGTTACCGATTCCGACCTCTCTGTTATTGCCAATGGCTTCAGATACTTGAGGGTGCTCAATTTGCAAAATTGTAAAGGTGGGCATCTTTTCTCTCCTCCTCCTCCTCCTTCTTTTATCTCTTACTTTTGCGATTGTGATCCTTGAATGAACTCGTATTGACTCCCATTTCCAACTTTTCTGCACCGTTTTATGTCAGTTATGGTGGTTATTATCGATAAAATGTCTATCCTAGTATTTGCTGTCTGTGGGGCTTGAGCATTACCCTTTTATTTTGTGGTAATTGCTGTCTTTATTCCGCTGTTGCACTGGTTTCATTGTCTGTCGGTAGAATGATTATGATTACTCATGACATGTGACTTGTGCCCCTCAAAACCGGGGTCTTGGTTCCGAAAATGTTGAAGTCTAATATTCGAACCTATCTTCACATGATGTATGACTTTACTCTAAAAGGTGTTTTTGCTTGCTAGCAAAGATCCTTGCTGTCACTCTCGCACTCTAAAGGGTGAACGAATAATCCTTCCCTCCTTCCTTTATGGTCTCGCAGTTGTAATATGTAAATGAAGAGGGTGAAGCAAGTTATAAATAGATGGATAAAGGGGAAAGAGTTAGAAAAAGAAGGAAAAATTTGCATTTTGGCTTGGGGGGACTGTAGTATCATAAAATTTCACATGATCAAATTGGAGTGATGTTATGTTCTTAAGTTTTCAGAATATCATCCACTTATTTAGTTTGAAAGTTTCAAAACAAGATTGACAGGATACTGGTTGTGTTGGTAATATATAGGGATCACAGATGTTGGAATGGCTGCAATTGGTGAGGGTCTTTCAGCATTGCAGTCTTTGGATGTATCCTACTGCAGAAAGCTGACAGACAAGGGGTTATCAGCAGTTGCCAAGGGGTGTCCTGACCTACGAATATTGCATCTGGCGGGATGCAGATTTGTTACAGATGGAATATTAGAAGCTCTCTCCAAAAACTGTCATAATTTAGAAGAGTTAGACTTGCAAGGATGCGCAAGTATTACAGACAAAGGACTGACGAGCCTTGCAAGTGGCTGTAAACAAATTAAGTATTTAGACATCAACAAATGCAGTAATGTTGGTGATGTAGGGGTTTCTTGCCTTTCCAAGGCTTGTTCGTCTTCTCTCAAGACACTGAAATTGTTAGATTGCGATAAAATTGGGGATGAAACTATAATATCCTTAGCTGAATTCTGTAACAATCTTGAGACTTTAATCATTGGTGGTTGCCGGGATGTCTCCGATGATGCAATAAAGTCACTGGCTACTTCTGGTAGAAGAAATCTAAAGAACTTGCGGATGGATTGGTGTTTAAACATCTCTGACTCATCATTGAGCTGTATATTAAATCAGTGCAGAAGCCTTGAAGCTCTGGACATTGGCTGCTGTGAAGAGGTGACAGATGCTGCATTCCACTTAAGCAGTGAAGAAGCTGCTCTGAATTTGAAGGTTCTGAAGGTGAATAACTGTCCAAAAATCACAGTGGCAGGTATAGGCATTCTTTTGGGCAAATGCAATTATCTAGAATATTTGGATGTAAGGTCCTGCCCACATGTTACCAAGGCTGGGTGCGATGAGGCTGGGTTGCATTTTCCTGAATGCTGTAAAGTTAACTTCAATGGCAGCATCAGTGAACCTGTTAAGCTTTTCTGATGCTATGATAATTTAACAAGGCTGGTATCATCTGAAGATGAAGACATTTGGAGATGTGAAGTGGATGCATCTAGTATCATGTGTATCATATCAGTTTCATCCCGAGTTGTAAATTGGGTCTGTATTTGTATATTTGTTTTCTGCATTTGCAAATTATTGCCTTACTCTCTTTGCATTTGTTCCTTGGTTCGCCTTGTGCATGAAAATCCTCACATCATTGGGACCTATTTCACCTCAAAATTCGTTGTTCTGCGTTGCGATGTATGCTTGGTGGGTGAACTTTTTGTGTTTTTTTGCCCCCGCCAACGGGTGAACTTTGCTTCAAATGTTCTGACCTGTAACGTTGTGTCCAGGTTGAACTTGACATTTCACCCAATGGCTAGTTGTAGCTTCTGGTCATAAATGTCGTTTTCAGAAGTTTAATCTCGATCAATTCAGATTAATTGGTTGTCAAAAACTATTCAATTCATATATATGTATGTTAAACATACTCTAATATGATAGCGTCTTCTAATAATTTAATTTTAAGTTTTTTATTTTTATACCTTCCTGATTACTTATTTATTTAGCAAATGTCAATAGTTCAACTTTGAAAAAATAATTATCTAGTCAAGATGAGGATTTAGTACGTATATTTCTTCAATGATCAAAATATGATCGATCAAAAAATAAAAGTTATCAAAGCGTGAAATAGGAAAACACTCATTGCTCTAATATGTGAGCGTCTTTTAATAATTTAAGTTTTTATTTTTATACCTTCTTGATTACTTATTCATTTAGCAAATATCAAAAGTTCAACTTTAGAAGAATAATTATCTGCTCAGGATATGGAATTAGTACGTATATTTCTTCAATCATCAAAATATGACCGATCAAATCGTACACACAAATTATGATCGATCCAAAATAAGGTTATCAAAGCATGAAATAGAGGAAAATACGCATGCCCCAAAATTTGAATTTCGGCCCCTTGATATATGGAATAAAAATTATAAAAAAGAAATTTTAATTATTGTAATTTTGAATAACCAAATTATTCTGATAGATATAAATAGATTTGTCAAATAATCATTTTGTGAAAGGCGAAATGAATAGATTTAGAGGCTGATATTCACTACAAACATAGCATAAAATAACATATGTTGGCAAAAAAAAACAAACAAACAATAGAAAACTTCAAAATATTCAAACTGATTGCGTAGTTTAGACCAAGTAATTATTCTATGAACAATCAATGGAATTGATTTGGCGCCTTGGCGGGACAAGCTTAAAAAAATAAAAAAAATAAAAGAGAAAAAGAAACTTGCAATAGAGGACTGAGGACACGTTAGGATCTTCATCAGGGAGATATCGTAGCACGTACGTATAATTTAACAGACTCCGTTCCCCCCCCCCCTCCCCCTTCTCTTTCCTCTTGAGTGATTCCATGATATAGTGGCGCGACTCTATCCTCAAAATCAACGATCCAGATAAGGAGTGCAATTAATTAATTTTTGATTACTTATTAATTTAATTAACAAAATAATGGAGGCTAGTCTTGGTCCATTTTTATTTTTTTTATTAATTATCCTCGTTCCACACCCAACAACCTTCGCCTCCCTCTCTGCCCTTTGTTCATTCTTTCACTTCTCAGCTAAACTCAGGTGGGTCCCTTCTCCGCCGTATCTTGGTATCTGCTCGTCGGAGAAAGCATGGCTGACTCACCCTCTCCGGCGCCTGAGCAACCCTTGCTGGATTCTGATGATTCGCAGTACTGGTGCTACCACTGCGAGAAGCGTGTGTCCGTAGAAACGCATCCGGAGGGCCCTGACATTCTCTGTCGCGAGTGCAAGCATGGCTTCGTCGAATCGATTGCTTCCCCGTCTTTGGCTCCTCCCTCTACGACTTCTGATCTGATCGACGATCCTCATTTCGAATCGCAATTCCTGCGCGTACTTCGTCTACTTGCAGAATCGGCGCGTGATGAAGACGCGCCTCCACCTCCGTCTCGAAACCGCTCCTCAGGCGATGATATTCTCAGGGTTGAGTTCGAGGATTGGGATGATGATGGAGAAAGCAGCAACAACAATAACAACGACGAGGACGACGAAGATGATGGGGTGGAGTTTCACGATGAAGGAGAAGAGCAGGAAGGTGCCGAAGAGCACGAAGATCGACTAGGAGAAGAGGACCCAAGTGGAGATGAAACCGAAGAAGATCTGAGAAGGAGGAGTATGCGGAACCGGATCAGAGACTTGACCAGTCGGATCAGAGATTTGGCAACCGGCACGAGGAGCAGGAGGAACAGGATCTTGGACTGGGCTGATATACTGATGGGTCTTGAAGACAATTCCATAGAGCTGAGACTTCAGGTACCTGATTCGGATCGATTTTTCGGGAACCCGGGAGATTACGTCGATGCTGCTGATTATGAAGCTCTGCTGCTGACCATGGCGGAAAGCGACGGAAGCGGGAGAAGAGGGGCTCCACCGGCTGCAAAATCTGCAGTGGAGTCGCTGCCGACGGTGGAGATTGTCTCAGAGGATCAAGCTTTGGTGTGCGCGATATGCAAAGATATGGTGGGTGTGGGAAGCATGGCAAAGCGATTGCCCTGTGGACATCAGTACCATGGGGACTGCATAGTGCCCTGGTTGGGCTCCAGAAACTCATGCCCAGTGTGCAGGTTTGAGCTTCCAACGGATGACCAGGACTATGAGGAGGAAAGGAAGAAGAAGGTGATTACCTCTACTGCTAATGGGGCATCAGGTTCTGGTGGAACCGATGCGATATCGGGTTGATTTCTAAATGGTATGTTCTATACTATTTATGTAATATATTATATTTGGTGATTTTCATCTTCTTTGCAAACTTTTTCACTTGCCTACTACGGTTTTCTTTTTCTTTTCTTTTTTCCCTTCCTCTTTAATTGAAACTTGCGCAATGTTGTTTACTGGAAGTTTCATGAAGCTAGCTCTTTAGCTCACTTTGTATATAGAATTTGGATCCACATGATCACACCGCTTCAATGCAATTTCAAGTTTCCTCCTGTGCCACGTGCTGATTTTGCTAAGCATGCCCTCTGTTTGCGGACACTTGGATTGTTGGAATCATAAAGTTATGTTTTTCTCCCTCTTGAGTTAAGTTCAACAATTTGAACTTTGATTGGTTGAATCTCCTTGCATGAGTTGTGGCATATGATCTTTCAAAGTTCACTTAGGTTTGATTTAGTATGTCATTTAGTTTTTGTTGAACTTAAATGTTGAGTCTTGACAAAAAGCATCGAATAATTTATAGCTGGAGTCAAATGTACATACACCGCGAATCTTGGGTTTTTGGTATTAGAATTTATGAGATTCAACGCTTTAAGCTGGAATCAGAATCCTTATTCTAAACTTGTGTGGAGAATGTTTCAAGTTGAAACAAGAAAACAACTGAGTGCTAGAATATAATTTATAACCAGATACGATCCATCTGAGCAAAAAAGTTAGCGAACTGAAACATAAATCTGATTGCTTACTTTATTAGAAAACCATGCCATCTTTGTTCAGAATATTTAGTGAACTAATTTTAATGAAGGTTCTGAAACTTGTCTCTTAAATCTTAATGCCCTGTATAATAAGCTGCTCTTCATCAGAGTTTCCTTTTAAAAAAAAAAGTTGCAAGTGTCACCCTCCCAACTTCGAGCCAATTGCTAGCACCTCCAACTTTGAGCATTAAAAGATATTTCTCCTACCAACATCTTCATTACAAGAGTCAGCGACAAGATGAGCAATAGGGTTTAAACTTTAAGGGTGATAGCTGAAGGAGATATTTTCCAATTTTTCAAAGCTAAAGGAATGTTTGCAGATGGCTCAGAGTTGAAAAGCGTTGCTATTTGCATTTTCCCAATTCTGCAACCAATTTATTCATATAACTTGATGAACTTAATGAATTTCTCGTCTTTTGTCTTGCAATTCATTCCATTCAGAAGAACTGATATGCATCTGACATAATTGGGAGGTTGCTGTAGTTGCTTCTTTTGAAAAAGGCATTATAGTTGATTCATGTTTCTTGGAATGGAATTCCTTCCAAAGTCTTCTGTCTTGGAACACTTTAATTTTGTATTGGTGTTTAGAGACCATATAAATTCAGAATTGATCAGGAAAACACGAGATGCATAATACTGCTGCTTCTTTGCCGCTTTCTTCTCCCGGTACTTGCTTTCCATTAAGTGCTTTTTTTTTTTTGGGGGGGGGGTTAGAGGAGCAGGCACTAATTGCTTTATAAGCAAGAACTTATAAAGGAGCTTTTAAGCTACAAGGGTATTGGCTTTTTCATTGAAGTGCCTTTGTCAACACTGAAATCGTGGCACACAGATAATAAGGCATTCTTAATCAGTTATACTCTGACCTATAGGTTCTAAAATTAGGTCGGGTTTCTCTGAGGAGTGATCTCATTTGTTAGTTTTGATTCCTTTGTGATGTTGGCATTTCCATGGAGGGAAGCCAGGAAGCTAAGCAGTGATCCTCTTTTCCTCCGAGCAGTTCTCTGAGGGAAAGTAAATTCACCGGGTATCTTTTAAATCCAATGTTATCCAAGATTGTGTCTGAAACACGGATGCGCTTGACTTTTTGGTTACTCCCACTTTGCGTAGGCTCCACCAAATGCAAAATGCTTCTTTCACCACTCCCAAGTAGGAAGCCACTTATTGTCACGATGCGACTTTATGTTCCCCCCTTCAACCTTTCTCGGATTGTCATTTTTCAATCATGAGGGGAGTAAGCGAGGATATTATTCGGGCAGCATTCCTCTGAAAACAGAACTTCATATCCACTACTTTTTTCTTTTTCAATAAAACAAACAGTACTTTGCTGGTTAAATTCAGCTTTCTGGTTTGGGATAGATGATTTCGGAACCAGCCATCTCAGCAAAAGTTTTGTTGTTTGTGTGCTTTCGATTTATAAAAGCGTAAAATGTCAAATGTGGTTCTCTGTAAGCGTAAGCTGATTTTGGAGAATGGGGAGTGAAAGCTGCGAGCGCCGGAAATTCATTCTAAAGGTGATTCATTTTATGAAGAGACTATGAACTGTCGATGAAGTTACTAATCGCTATCATTAGTAATGCTTATAATGGTAAGATCTGGCGGTTACTTGTTCAAAGACGCCTGCTTATTTCTGTTATTTATTGTTATTCTATTTATAATCGTATCCATCTGCTAACCAGCATGCTCCGGAATTTGTGAGCAAGTACCCATCTTAGCTACATTTGGTACTTTGAGTGAAGAATTGAGCAGGAAGTAACAATAGATCCTTTTGTTTGGTCCAACCCCGGCCCCTCCCCACAAAAAAAAAAAAAAAGAGGATTTTTTTTTAAAAAATAAAACTATTTCCTTTGTATCATATTGAGGGAGGCCCCGTTCTTCTCCAATGTAAGCATTTGAGCTAAAATAGTTAAGGAACTCTTTAAGTTTACAAGTAACTGGTTGAATTTAAAAAATCGCGTCTAGAAAATTAGAAAAAATTCGTAGACGCGTACCTGTTCTGATGGTAAAAATTAATCGTAACAATTCCCCACTCTTTTTTTTTTTTTTTCCGGGTGACGCAGAGGTAAGGTGCGTATGCCCAAATTTAGCAGGGTTAAGTTGAAGAGCAGACCAGAAAAAGATGAGTATAATAGAAATCGCATTTATTGTCGTGCGGCTTCGCCCCACTTCTCATCTGAAGCATGGACATAGGGTGAAGAACTTAAAGGCTGAAATTAAAAAAGGCTACCTAGCAAGCCATTTCCCTGTGGTTATATTTTCATGTAGCCTACACGCCCAAAGCAAGCTCCTTGATCCAATAGGATCATCCCATTGATGGAATTTCTTCAAGTAATCTCCCGGCCCAGATATTCTTCCAGATTGTCCAAGCATTTCAACAAGACATGAGAAATGGTCAAGATTGGGGGGTGATTCCATACTTTCTTAGTTTCTTTCATGGAATTGAGGTAAAGCTTGCCCTTGTCCAACAATCCTGCCTGATTACATGCAAACCTAGAGATAGGCGAGTTGGAAACACAGGAAATGCTTTCGTAACAGGACTTGATTGTTTGAGCGCGAATCTACAGCCCCAGTTCAAGTGTCGCAAGACTAGCACAAGCACTGACCGCAGTGGCAGATGTGTATTCATTATGAGGAAGCTGCATTTTAGAAAACAGACCAAGTGCAAACCATTGCTCCCCACATCGGTCATATCCAGATATCATAGCCAACCATGATATAAGATTGCGTTCACACATTTTATCAGACACTTTGCGTGCAAGGGAGATGTAAACATTAGATTGCAAGCTGCCTTCAGAAGAACAGCGCGAATGGAAAGACCTTGCTAAAAAAATCCTTCTTTCTGGAGAAGCGGTGCAAGAGCGATGCAATTGCTTCTGGTATCATAGAAGTCTAAGTTGAAGTTGAGACATCAAGGACCCGAATACATAGAAACACAGGAAGCTTTAACCATATGGCTTGGACATCAAATGAAAGAGAAATTGGGATTATGCAGTTAAAAACATGGAAGAGAAGTCTCCCAATTGAAGCATCTCGACCAATAAAATTATGGAGGAGGAGCTTTTCTACTCAAAAGTTACATCATCTTCAATTATGATCTGACGTTAGACTCATGCTGGAAACTCACGAGTCATGAACCCCATAAAATGCGAGAGAAGGTTAGACGTGAATGCATGAACGTGAAGTTGGGTTCACGTGCAAATGATATAACTCCGTATTCATAATTCTACATATTTTTGCTTATGAATCACTGGGAATTATATGAGATGAGATTGTAGATTATGGCTGGCAAAAAGAAGAAATCGTAATTTAGGAAAGAGGAGTTATCAACTAATATGTAGACTCAATATTCACAACCCACACATATTTCATTTTCGAATGATCACTTGTTAATCATTTAAGAATTGAAGAGTTACAAATTCTTAAGCAGGATTTTTAAATTGAAATAAATGTTGGCAGTTTCACTAATCACATACGAAATTTTTAGAAAATTTCTAATAAATCATTTTAGAGGAGTTGTTAATTCATGAGAATTTAATACGATATCACACGTGAATAATGTGAAATGGGATTGTAAAATATAAAAGAGAATTTGTAAATAAATAAACTTCGCATTCACACTTTTTACCACTCGTAAAATGACAACGGTCAGTTGGTCACTTATAAATTGGAGTTATGATTTTTTTTTAAAAATATGATTACGTCTTTAAACAATAAGGCTATTAACTAAAATTATAAAAAATATTTCCTGCCACCACGGTTATGAATTCTTGCTTGTAAATTGAAACGATTACATGTACGTTTGTCGCCCAATGTTTTATGGGAATTTGCAACCTTTTTTTTAAAATCATTTGAGAGGGGCTATTAATTCTTTAAAACAGCTTATAAATGATAAGACCTCTTATTGACAATCTCATGTATTTTACCACTCAGGTCCTTAGGATTATTTTCCCCTTCTCACGGTGGAAGGTATTTTGAGAAAGTATTTAGATGGAATTAAAATTATGATTTAAAAATATTTTTATATATATAAAATAAATATATAAAGGAGTTTATCTCATTTTATAAAAAAACCTTTTAAAGAAGTATTTTTGGATGATTTTAAACGTTCCAGTAGTATCTTCCGTATCTATTTTTACTGTATTAGAAAAATGTAAAAGAAAAACATTTCGAAAATTCCTGACTCAAAAATGGTTCTGGAACCAACTGCAGGGTCCATACCGCGCAGGGGCAGTGGCGGGAGAAGAGAACCTGGGGAAACCTTTTCCCGGCTATATAAAACTCTGACCTCTTCATGAAAAGCTGCGCACTGCTTGGTTCGAACTGAAAGATTTCATTTTTGGACCGAAATAATCGCTCAGATTTTCCATTGTTACATTTACAATCCACTGGAAGCGAAAAATAGTGCTTCCGATGGAAGATATTGGGAAAATGATTGGAGATTTGAGCTTAGGAGAATTAGTAGAGGGCCAGCAAGGTGAGGCACTCAGAAGCAGTGCCTTCCTACGGTTAAAATCTTACTGTTTAGAGCTTCTGGAGCTTGTGCGGAACCCCAAGAAGCATGCTTCTGTAATTCCTTCGCTTCGTCACTTTCTTCAGAATTCTTCATCCAGTACCTTACAGCCCTTCTTCGAGTATGGCCACTTACATAGAATTCTTACATATTCATGCATCACCCAACTCAAGTCTTATTTATTTAAAGAAACTTCTCTATACTGGCTTAACTTTCAACGATATGAAGTGGTAGCAATTTACAGATATTTATACTAATGTATTAGAAAGAAGGATGAAATGACCGTGAAAAGGCTGGCGCTTTTTAACATCTGCGTTTGATTTTATTGTCTACTGAAGTCATGATTGATATGTTTTGATTATGTCAATAAGTTTTGCTAGTGATCATACTTTTGGCTTTGGGTAGTGCAAATAAATCCTTTCCAAATTTTCTTGAGAGAAACGATTCATTGATGAGACTGGAAAACAATACGTCAACAAAGGACACGTAATCCTCCCAGGAATAGCGAGAGAAAAACTGCACAATTTACACAAAAACTGGCTTAAAAGGGCTTTGCAATCCCTTTGTGAATCCACCAGGGACAAGCGTTTTGACCCTATTTTAACCGATCCCGTTTGGGCATTGTGCTGTTCTCTGAAATGTCTTGGCTAAGAAAATAAAAAATAGTACATTGGGAGAGTTACTCATTTTGACCTGATAACGTTCAAATCTTATAGTCGTGTTTTTTTTTTTTAAAAAAAAAAAAATGATTCGTGGCCGGGCATGTTCTTTGTGTGACCAACATTCAAACATATTTTATATGGATATTACGCAAAAGATAAGTATTGTGATTGAGCTTGTCATGCCTTTAATGGAAATACAGTTGAGGTGGGCATCTGTTTCAGTGTTTTCCAAACTTTTCTCTGCTGTAATATAAAAAGTCATGCTTTAAATCCTGAAGCTTTAGTCGTTGAATTCCGCTGGTTCATTTTATATGATTGTTTGATTCTTACTTCAGCCTTGAATATGGCCTTAACTATATACTTTTTTCCCCCCAGTTACACTTTGTTCCCATTACTTTTGCTCCTGGATGCTGCCATTGAATGCAGATCTACGCCAAAAGTAGGTTCTAAAGAAAATTTTACAACGTCTGATGTACCAAAACCACCTAATCCAGTGAGTGATACTGTGGCAGAAGGCGTTGTTTGTTGTTTAGAGGAACTTCTGAAGAAGTGTCATTTGAAATCTGTGGATCAGGTGGGCTGATTTTCATTCACGTCTTGAATAACTGTAATACAAATATCTGAAAAGCTTCTTTAAGCCTTTATTTACTTTTCATTTTATATTTTATATACTACTGAACTACGTCTGAATAATTATATGTTGAGGATGTGTAATAGGGATAACCCTTCTCTGGCCATTTTAACATGAGGAAAAGGAGATCAGGAGAAATGAATCAAATAGAAATGGGGTTTGGAAAAATGTGGAAATCCACTCCTGATGCATGATGATGCTGGACTGAACATATTGAAACAGGGAATACATCAAGCATTTTCAATTCTACGAATTGAATTTTTTGTCCTCAAGGCACAAACGTACTGTGTTTTAGAAGGAAATACAGGGAACTACCCTCCAAATAAGTTTAAAACTGGGAACACAGAGAGACATCTAGTGCAATATTATTTTATAAATCTATATTATTCAGCAAGATGGAGGTCCTTGTTACCACTATCGGGGTTTTCTTCAATTTTTTGTGTTACATATTATTTTGAAAACTCACTTAGATGGTTTTACATCCTTTATGATGTAATCTCTATCCATTTTTTACATCAATATATAGAGTAAAATTACTTTATTCAAATGCTTATTAAGCTACTGGGACTATATTTTGCTCCATAATTTTATACATGAGATATAATGATGTGCAAAAGATAGTACTTTCAAGTGTTAAAGAGGAAGTTGTATTACATGAATTTCAATGGTCTTTTAACTCAGCCTCACACCTCAGTACAAGTCTGTTGTTGACTTGTTTACATTTTCTAGAATTCTATCAAGTAAAAATTTCTTTATCATCGAAAGGCTTCAAGCAATGCATGGTCAATGAGAATCAACTCTTTTTTAATTGCCCCGGACTTGCAATTGTATGAAGCACAAATTCCTTATCATTTAAAAGCCATCAAGTAATACATAGTCAATGAAGATGAGTAAGTGCTTAAGTGCCTCGATTATATTGTTAAATGCTAGGAACAGTCTTTGTCAAGTTTTCCACTTGCTGCATGCTGTTTCGTTTGTTAAAACACCCTGCAGAGGCCATATGAAAACTTGAGCTGTGATGTTTGTTTACACAAGTGGAATGAAGTTGATGAAACTAAACTGTGATGACATTCCTCAACAGATGGTTGTAGTCCTAAAGAAATTAACATACGGGGCTTTGCTTTCACCACTTGAGGCTTCGGAGGAGTTTCGTGAAGGAATTATCTTGTGTTTCAGGGCACTGCTTCTGAGTTTACAATCCTGTTCTGATGAGTCGTGCTCATGCGAACAAATTCCTGGTTTTCCTGCACTTTCAGAGGACACAGATGATACGCCTCATTGGAAATCTTCCAAAACTACTGCAGAATCAGAAGTCTGTTTACTTGCTTTTCTTCGCTCTCAAGATGCATCAGCAGCCATTGGACACTGGCTGTCTCTTCTTCTAAAAGTATGTTGATTTTTTGGTTGTTGGGCATTCCTACTGAAATTCCAGTGGGAGTTCATTTTAAAACAGTGAACTTTCCCACTTTTGTTTCCTAACTTTCACTTAATAACAAAATAACCAAAATTTGTCACTAGTATATGCGCATTTTCTCCATAACGCAAGATAAGTTTTAGGAATCAAAGTAGAAAACAATTGCTTGAAAGGAACCTATATGAGGACATGCCTTTTCTTCTGTTGTCAAAATTTAGTTAAATCACGCCTTGGAAGTTTATAATACCTGGTTTTATAAAAAGGCTGCAGATACAGAGGCTGCAAGAGGACATCGAGGCTCTGCAAGACTGAGAACTGAAGCCTTTAGAACTCTCCGCTTGCTGGTTGCTAAGGTAGTATATTTAACAGGTTCTTTAAACAGCTTGTAAGGTTTTGTGGAAAGTTTCTCTTCTGCTGGTATTTGGTGCACTTTGTTAGATTATATATGCTATTAGATCAGATAAATATCATTTTTTGGGTTGGGGGTGTTTATTTTTCAGCTGAGATTATTTTTCAGCTGAGAAATTGGAGAGTTCTGTTGAGCTAATTTTTTTAACCCACTTTTGTCTGCTTCAGTAATTTCTGTAACTCATCGATTCTTCTGTTATGAGGGAAGCTGACTGGATTTTTGCAGGTCGGTACTGCAGATGCATTAGCCTTCTTTTTACCTGGTGTTGTTAGTCAATTTGCCAAAGTTTTGCACAGTGCTAAAACGATGATGAGTGGTGCGGCTGGTAGTGCAGAGGCTATTGATCAAGCAATTAGAGGGTTGACTGAGTATCTTATGATAGTCCTCAGGGATGATGCTAATGCACCTGTCATGGGTGTTGAAGCTTCATCTAACTTTGGTTCTGATAACTGTGAATCCACTGTGTCTCTTTTGGAGGAGCTCCGTCGCTTGCCTGTTAAAGCTCAACTTCAAAATGAAGTGATTGAAGATACAAGGCATGAGTTGGGGGAAATCCCTTGTTCAAACACTGAACTACAAGAAAAGAGTGGTGATTGTAGCAAAGCGATTGGATCTTTGCATGTGAATCGAACAAAAGATTGGTTGGAGAAAACATCAGCTCATTTAAAGAAGCTGTTGAACGTAACATTTCCACATGTATGCTCATACTTCTTATTTAAGGAAATTTATTGGCTTGGCCTTGTTGTAGTCTTCCAGTTGTTTATATTCATACATGCATTTAGGCATGCGTCTGTTTGTATACATTGCTTTAATGTTTTATGTAATTGGTGAAATTATTGAATTTCAGATCTGTATTCACCCTTCACAAAAGGTGAGAAAGGGACTTGTTAATGCTGTACAAGGACTTCTATTGAACTGCCACTACACTCTGGGAGAGAGTAGACTGATGCTTTTGGTGAGCTTTGAACCGGTTAAATGGAAATTAATTCTGATAGGGTTTTTGTCCTCAACATGTTTTCTCGATTGGGATTTAGAGGATATTTGTTTTCATTTGGTCTCCTTTTCTTTGTTTTTTTTTTTTTCCTTTTCTAATCTTCATGTCACTAATTATGCAGGAGTGCTTATGTGCTTTGGTAGTTGATGATTCTGATGATGTATCTTCTACTGCACAAGAGTATCTTGAATATTTATTCTCTCTAAACTGGAAGCCTCTTCTAGAACAGGATGCTTCTGAAATATTTAGCAGGTAAATTTTTATGGATGCAAATTACTTACTCTTGATGGTTTCCCTTTTCTCTTCCTGATACCTCTTTAAAATTTAGGCATGTTGAAAAGCTTCCCAAAGTGGTGCTTGGCAATGAGGAGTCCCATGCAGTGTTGAATGCGCAACAGTTATTAGTGATAATATATTATTCTGGTCCTCGTCTAATGTTCGATCAACTTCAGTCTCCTGTATGTGCTTCCTTCATAAATTCTCTTACTTACTTCTACACATCTCTGTTTTTTGGATTTATATATTTTGGATACTGATGATGCATTACCATACAAAATCGGAGTATCTTGCAATTTTGACGCGGGAAAAAATTATTTGGTTGCTGTAATTTTTCTGCTTTGGGAATACTCTAATGTGATAATTGATTCTGGAAGAAGTTAGTTTGCAATAATTAGATTCATCTTTAGTTATGCCATTAAATTATTTCTTGATCAAATATACTTTCTGTATATAAGTATTACATGTTCCTATTTCTTGTTTGACATATATCCTTTTGCGTGAACCTGATTAGGTGGGAGCTGCTAGATTCCTGGATGTATTTGCCGCATGTCTAAGCCATAGATCAGAGTTCTCTGGTTCACTTGACAAAATCATTTCAAGATCATCAACATTGGCGTACCTACCCTCTGTTGATGACTTGAAATCTGGTGTTAATTTCTTATGTCCTGGTCTTCCTATTATGAATGCTGGCTTGTTGGAAGCTCCAAAGTACAGCCTTATTGAGGAAAATAATAGACAAAAACCTATGAAAGCAGAGGGCTATGAGCTTCCTCGTATGCCCCCTTGGTTCAGTAATGTGGGTAGTGTTAAACTATACCAGCCTCTTGCTGGGATTCTCAGACTTGTTGGATTATCTTTAATGGCAGGTGATTTCTAATTCAGTGTTTTTCTATTAGCGCTCTGACTGTGCATCTAAATCTAGTACTCACACTCATTACCTTGCGTGTCATCACTAGATAGTAGAAGTGAGGGGCTTCTGTCATATATAACTGAGACTCTACTTGGTCACATTCGTAAATTGGTTTCTGAACTCCGTATGAAAGATTACAATAAAGAAAGCTGGCGATCTTGGTATGAGAGAACTGGTTCAGGACAGTTATTGCGGAAAGCAAGCACAGCTGCATGTATGCTCAACGAGATAATGTTTGGTCGATCTGATCAAGCTATTAATGGTTTTGCTAGAGTGTTTCATAGATCTGCTACGAAAAGGGAAGGCATTGAGGTCCAGTCTTTCAAACTTGATTGTTCACTTCATGAATCTGTTTGGAAGATGCTACATGATGAAGGTGCAAGAAGTCATTTAATGGATTGCATTGGTGGGATCTTGCATGAGTATTTATCTGCTGAAGTTTGGGGTATTCCAGTCAACTACAGATCTGTGGACATGCATCTTAATGCTGAAGACGACGAACCTAGCCCATACCTTTTCCAGGACGCTGCGATGCTACACGAGGAAATACACATTTTCCTTTTGACTGGCTATTTATTCTCTGTAATTAGTGGTCCTTTCATTGTATGACCACCTGTACTGGATAGGATATTAATAGCTTCATTTATTTGGAACAGGTTATTATTGATGGACTAGGAATCTTCAATCTATGTCTTGGAAGAGATTTTGCTGCAAGTGGGTTTCTTCATTCATCTCTTTATTTGTTGCTTGAGAATCTCAGTTCTCCAAGTTTCCAAGTTAGAAACGCTGCAGACTGTGCCTTGCATATACTTTCCACCACATATGGCTATTCAACGGTTAGTTTCTCTGTTTCAAACTCCCCCACAACACCCCCCCCCCAAAAAAAAAAAAAAAATCCTCGCATGACTTCTATCATGCATGCATTCTTGTAGGTTGGACATCTAGTTCTGGAAAATGCAGACTATGTCATTGATTCAGTATGCCGACAGTTGCGTCATTTGGACCTTAACCATCATGTGCCAAATGTGCTAGCTTCTATACTTTCCTACATTGGAGTGGCTTCTAAGATATTGCCTCTTCTAGAGGAACCGGTATCACCATATCCTTGATTGTGAATGCTGTTTTCAAGCAATTATTTTAATTTTCAAGTATGGCATGATAATTTTTTTTGTCGTTCCAATTATCTAATGTTTCCAATACCAGAAGACAGCAGGTTTTCCTAACAGTGCTTGCATCTATTGAGCATTATCTGACTAAAATGCTATTTATTTTGACCCTTTTTTTTTTTTAAAGTTGTGTTGCTTCATATTATGGTTTATGTCATCGTTTGTTCCTTTTGTTGTGGTGCATAGTGAAGAAATACCTTTAACATGCTTTGAGTTTTTTCATTGTGATCTTGTGGTCAAATGATGTTCAATCAAACAGATGCGCTCTGTGTCAATGGAGCTCGAGATACTTGGTAGGCATCAGCATCCCGATTTAACCATGCCCTTCTTAAAGGTCTGTTACTCTCTCATTTCTCTCATTCTTTCCCTCTCGCTTTCCATGTAACTGTACTTATGTGCATGTGTATGTACACTTGTTTACCTTTTCAAATGTGAGACGTGCTCTTATTTCTTTACTATGTAGTTTTTTAGAAATTCACATTCACTCTTAACCTGTTTCTAGTTCTCGCTGGGAAGTATTTTTATAGGTATTTTATGTTTGGGACGCAGTGATTGATTTTGGATATAGTGTGTTATAATCAATTAACCAATGAGAGAACAAATTCTGGGCAATCCAAATCATTCTATCTATCATCTTTCTCTCTCAATTCTTCTGGCAACCAATATTCTCAAATATAACCTCTGAATTCAGATTTACTGAAGCCAGTATTTGAAATAATGATTTTTCCCCTTGTTTACCAACTCTTGATTTAAGGTAAACTCCGATGTCTATCCTTTTTGTGATGCATTCTGTGTCTTTTAAGTCTGTGGATTTGCGTGAGTTATTATCAATGAAATCTAGTCAATAGTAATAACACCCAAATGTCTTTAAATTTTTTGATCTCAGGCAGTAGCTGAAATTGCCAAGGCTTCAAGGCAGGAAGCTTGCTCGGTGACCCCTCTAGCAGAGTCATTTGCCGGATATGTCAGGTCTATAATTTCAAGTGCAAAAGAACAAACAGAAGGTCAAAAAATTGCTATTCACTTCTGACATTACTGTTTCAGTTCTTTTAAGATGATTTTGAATCTTGGGTTTTTTAACTTGAATGCAAAATTCATTCATTTATTATATTTAGGTTGTACGCTTCTTTGATATAAATGGTACAAGTGACCATATATGTAGACCTAGCAGGCCAAGCCCTTGCAACCATGATTTTAACAAACCACTACTAAACACAAATGAAAGATCAAACCAAGGAAAGTTCCTTAGAAGTAATTCTTATTTGACACAACCCCAGATCCAACTACAGGACCTAATTATAAAATTACCTGTGGTCTGATAGAAAAGAAAAATAAGAAAAAGCTATTAACCCTGGCATTTAGCCCTTCCCTTCTGCTAGTTTATTTCTAAATTATCAATGGAAACTTTCAATCTTCTGGAAATATATGAATTAATTTCTAGTGTCCTTGACTATGGGGGTGTTTGGATACCCCAATAATCACTTTTCAGAAGCACTTTTCTGCAAATCGAGACAAACTTCTCCACATATTTACTTCGTATACCGTAAAAGCAATTCTGAAACCATGGATTTGATCTTATCCAAACACCCCCTATGTCAATAATACTATAGCATATAAAGACTTGTTCCTTCTCCATTAACTAGTAGCGGATTATACTATCCTTCTTTCTTTCTTTTGGAAATTAAGGTTTCAATTTTGCTAATGGATTTTGGCCGAAAAAATTTCTTCTAATGGAAATGTTATGCTTTTAGACCAGTGGGAGGCCATTTTATTCAAGTTGAATGATTCCAGGAGATATAGAAGAACAGTTGGTTCTACTGCTAGTTCATGTATCACTACAGCAACCCCCCTTGTAGCTTCGTTGAAGCAAGAGACATGCTTGGCAGCCCTGGACATAATTGAGGTATTTCGTCGTGAAAGTTCTTTTACATATCCTCCGAGCACATGACAACTGATATAAGGATGCATGAATCATATGCCCGCTTTCCGGGTATCAGGAATATTGGTTAGACATTTGATATTGAGCCAATTTTGAACATTGACGCAGTGAATTTCTTTTTTCAATATATTGGCAACTGAACGTTTGTGTGCTCTTATTCGGTATATTCTTTCTCACCAAAGGAAAATGATGAAAATTCAGATGTATAATTCGATTATTCTTTCTGGTCCAAGGGTGGCATGTTGGCATTGGCAAAAGTGGAAGCTGCATATAAACATGAAAGAGAAACCAAAGAATTATTGGATGAAGTCTTGCAGTCACAATTATTGTATCAGTTGAAGGATACTTTAGATGCCGCTGAAGAAGGGACTGATGAAAACAGGTTGCTTCCTGCAATGAACAAAATATGGCCATTCTTGGTTGCTTGTATTCGGAACAAGAACCCAGTGGTGAGCAATACTTATTTCATGCTCATCTGTTTCTGCAAAGAGGATTTTGAATCTAATTTCCTTTTTTAATGAAAAGGATGACTTCATTCTCTTGTTTTTCTTTATCTAGCCATTCTTGCATGTGATTCCCCTCCTCATAACAGAACTTCCTTGGTGTATGCTTTTGACCAAGTTATATGGCACCGATTGCTCATTGCTATTTGTTGTATTTAACCAATTGGCAGGCTGTCCGGAGATGCTTGAATACTATCAGTAACTTGGTGCAAATCTGTGGTGGAGATTTCTTCACGCGTCGCCTCCACACTGACGGAACACACTTCTGGAAGCTTCTAAGCATATCCCCATTTCACAAAAAAGCCAATGTCAGAGATGAGAAGGTCCACTTACAACTCCCTTACAGAAGCAGTTCCCCAGCTTCAGAGGATTCTGTGGCTGAGGGTTCCAATCTCAAAGTTCAGATCGGAGTACTCAATATGATAGCTGATTTATGCCTTGATAAGAGGAGCGCCTCATCATTAGATAATGTTGTGAAGAAGGTAAGTGGCCTGGTGGTGGGGATAGCTTGCAGTGGGGTAGTGGGACTTCGTGATGCTTCTTTGAGGGCTCTTCGTGGACTTGCGTCTATTGATCCTGATCTTATATGGCTTCTCTTAGCTGATGTCTACTACACTGTGAGGAAGACAGATATGTTGCTCCCGCCAACATCGGATTTACCCCATATCTCTCGAATTCTTCCTCCTCCTTCGTCCCCTAAGGAGTATCTGTATGTCCAGTATGGTGGCCAGAGTTATGGCTTTGACTTGGACCTCGCCTCTGTGGAGGTTGTTTTCACGAAACTTTTCACCCGTGAGCTTACCTAATCATCAAATTTATAGTCAAACATCCGAATTCGCCCGCATTACAGCTTATCCCCCCCCGGGGGCCAAAACCAAAAAAAAAAAAAAAAAAGTCCCTCCTCTCTTTTTTGGGGTAAATTATATCTCCCCGCGTTTTGTTCGTACATGGACCCTGTCTCTGGATGAACCGTGTAAACACGACTTTGAACAGAAGAAACGCTCTTGTGAAAGCAAATACGCGTGTTATTCAAAACGGGAAATTGTATTCAAAAACACAGCATAACATTAATCCGTAACCGTAAGTGAAAACTCGTTACATCATAAACATTGTCATTCGAAAATCATATCGTCGTATTCTGGGAATCTTTCCAGATTGGTATTGCCGTGAAAATCTTTCGGGGTTTAGTCATCAATTGTATTCATGTGCTTGTTTGCTGTTTGGATTGAATTGTTGCGGCAATGGGAATAATGATCTCATATGGGCACATACAATATACGAATTCCCATTTTCTATATGTAATATATTATAAGTAGTATACAAAGACTAACTTCCCATACACCATTCGAACACTCTCCATGCTTGACAGGGAATTCTTAAAAAGGGGGAGGGGGAGAGATGTAACATGAATCACTGTTTTCCAATGAACACCTCGCTGTTGCCAATTCCTCTCGTGCAGTAACTTCTCAATAAAAAAATTTGAAAACAAAATTAAGAAAGGCACGCGGCTAGCAACAACTAACCCAATTACAGTGAAGACCAAAAAAGGAGGAAAAAAAAAACTCGAATATTTCCTGCCAATCCTATTCTATCTTCCCTGTTGTAATTTCCCTGATATTTCAATATATAATGGTTGATCATGCGTTGGAAACAATGCATAGACCAAAATGTTTTTAAAAAAAATACAGAAAAAGAATCAATTAAACCTCGTACTGTTCCTTCTTCCCCACCACCTTTTCTTTACTTTGTCAATTGCACCCTCCTCACTTCCAAGCTTATGTAAAATTGCCTTCGTTTCACGCAGTCTTGCCGCATAGTCTTTCTTCCAAGCTTCGAACGTGTGTTTCAACCTTCTAAGCTCCTGTTCTGGATTCAAATTTGCTTCAACTTGACCAGATTTCACCTCAACCAAGAACTTGGCATCATCACCAAATACTTGACGCCTCTGCTCTAATTCATTAGCCAGCCCACTTATGACATTGAAGCCTGCACCCATTGATCTAAACCCATTGCTTTCTTGGCGTCTGTGATAATTACCCACACTTGAGCTGCTTTCTTGGCGCCTATGGTTGCTTCCTATATCTGAATTATAATCTCTCTCATCACTTGCATTGACAGAAGCATCCGAATTTCTTGCAGAATCATCAATTGCTAAGCTCTTTTTTGCAATGGAGAGGCTAGATTGTAGGGATCTCATTTGTTTCTGCCACCCTTCTTCCATTGATTTCATCTTCGATTCATACTCGGACCAACGGCTCTCATACTGTTGGAGGCGCTGGTGAAGAATGTCGTTTTCTTCTTTTTTAACTCTCAGGGCAGCTTCAGCCTTGAGCACCCGACGCTGTAATTCAGTCAGGAAAGATGCCTTGACTAGCACCTCGTCCGATTCATTGGCCTGTTTTCAAGTTCACAATCTCAAGTTTCAATAATCACGATGCAATTCACAAGCATTCCATGAAAGCATTCATTTTGAAAAATAGGATACCTTCATCCCTATAGATTTCAACAATCCCATATCTCCTGAGCATCTTCTGGCCAACGAACCACGAATAGCTGCAAATTTAACCAAATATTTATATGAATTATCTGTAGAAAAGTCCCATAATAACATCTTTTTAAAGACAAAAAACAACATATTTGGCTGGAAAAGGCAGTCCACACTCCCAAGAGAGTTTTCTGATGCATAATTAATTTGTAATTTTGTACCGTATTTCTAAAATGAATCAAAGTAATTGTGATTGCTCCTACAGCTCAAGATTCATTTTGTTTAAAATAACAAGGCATGGAAATATGAGTGCTCGTCGCACTTAAAAGCAGATGGCACTAGCTCATAGAAACAGGCAGATGTTCGGTTGTGGGGAGGGAACGAAATGTCACCTGATTGAATGACTATCGCAGCATCAGAAATATTCTTCATTCTGTTTCTCGCAAATACTCCTTTCATCTGCTTCTGTATATGAACAGCAGCTCTATGTCGCTGAAGTGAAGCTGCAAATTCCTTTCTCGTTTTCTCTCCCCTGACAACTGCATGGATAGGTAAGAAAATATAGTTCCAGAGAAAAATGAAAAACAGAAAGAATGGTGAGGAGAAAAACGACATACATGACTGGAGAGTAGTGATTCCTCTCTTAAGTTCCTTGTGATAACAACGTGCTCGGTGACCCCTGAAGCAACTTTGGACGCGTAAGATGCCATGGAGGGTACGATTTCGGGTATCTTCAAGCACTCCAATCTGCAGTGGGTTCAAGAGGCATGTTAAAGGCCATATTGAAATATCATTAACGTAATTCTTCTTTCATACCCCACCCCCTCCTCAAATTTATGGCCTCTTTGGATCCTCTATAGATAACCAAAAACGATCTGACAACTTCGTAGCCAGTTCATATTTCCCAGGACCGATGAAGCCGCTCCAGATTAGATGTAATAGGGACTTTCTTTTGTCCCAAGCGAAAAACAACATTCTTCTAGCAACTTGATGCAAGTTTCAAAACAAATACCAGCTCAGATAAAAAACCAAAATCACAAATATGCAAGACTCAGAAGCACATATTTCCAATCAAATTATTTTGTATTTCTATTAAAAAACAATCCATTGATATCATTCATATAATTCTTCATCAATACACCTCCCCTTTCCCATTCTAGAATTGTTACCTATACCGGAATAATGTAACATGTCGAATACAATGCTTACCAAGTACAGGAAGATAATATAGGATTTTAAATCCTAAATGCAGTCTAATTCCATTTTAAGCTGGCCATGACAACTAGTGTCCAGAATCACCAAGAAGACTTCTGGTATGAATTCAATTCCAACACATTCATGATCGTCATAAAAATTTAAATCATTCTCCTTAAAAGATACACTAAAAATGAAATCAGAACAATCGGGGAAAAACTACACACATGATGATAATAAATCTATATTTACCTGTCCTGTTCGGAAAAATAATTTTGTGAACCCAACTTGATACATCTCAGGCAAAATACTAAACTGATGCAGAATTGCAACTGAAACACTGAGTGGATCCTGAGATGCAACATTTTCAAGGAGAAGAAAACCATATCTGATTCACCAATCACAAGCCAAGAGAAAGGTTAGCTGTGTAGAGAAAGTGCGGAAGGGAGTTGAAAGGATACGAACTATCATATACATCCTCTTTCATACCTTCTGGCAAACTTTTGATGAGACATTCTAGTAGGAAAACCTGATCTTGATATTCGAACCACTTCCAGGACTCCACAACATCTCAGTTGCTGAAGTACAAGCCCTTGCTCATATGATCCCGGTGACTGGGAGTTATTAGGCTTAATGCATCGAATAAAATGTGGTGTGGTGCTCTCCAAACGTTGCATAAGTTGAAACAGCTGACCCTAAATGCCAAAAAAATAAATTTTATAGCCAATTCAAGCGAGAAAATATCACCACTTCGGAAGGGGAAAACAAAATTAAAGACCAAAAGATGCGCCCAATAAAATTGACAGAGTGGAGGAGGAAAGGAATAACTATGGATAATTTATGGTTTTGGTACTTGGCAATTTTCACTCCACTCCCCACCAGTACTTCTATTTTCATTCCTACAACGGTCACCATTAGCATTATTGTACCCTCTCCTATGCTGGAGAACTCACAAGTCCGATCTCAAAAAGTACCATTAACAAATTACGAGACAATCTCTTTTTTCCTAGAAAATGCAAGGTTTAAACATTGAACAAGAGGAATACTTCAACAGCATATAAGAACTTGCATTGACAGTGAATTGAAGACTGGAAGAATCAATACATTAGTTTGCTAAGAATTAAACTATTTCACGATCAATCAAGTACTGGAAAGCTCTATATTTGGTAACGCACCTTGAATTTTGTGGCAACACTTAGCTTTTGGGAATCTGCTCCGCCTGATTTGTGTAAGGGACCAGCTACAGGCTTCTCGGACTGCAAAAGCATATGGGCTGCAAATATCTTAGGAAGATGGCATGTACATGAGGATAAAAGTTGAATGGAATCCAAGTGCAATAGGTCCCTGTTCTTCTCCAAAAATCCAGTTGTATCATAGGTGACCTGAAGGGAGGAAACAGGTGGAATTATCAGTGCGTTAGGATCAGCAAACCTAGCAACTGTTTTGGATTTAGAATAAAGATGGCATTTAGGAGTCATAGAATATGAAAATTCAATCAAAATTATGGTTAGTCAATGCGTGGATCCAAATCTTGTGGAATCTAGCATCTCATACAGTTGTTAATATTAAAGTCCACAATCCCAGAGGCATCAAACCATACTGGTCACGCCCAAACCAGATGACAAAACCTAATGCTACTGGAAGTCCACAATATAAATCATGTTCAAATATAACGGCAACTTACGGGCTCTCAGACATATATACATAAAATCATGACAATGACTAGAGTAATACCTCCCCTGCATAATGGCACACAGCAAAGGCCTTGCCTCGTTCTCCTTGGAAACATGAATTTGAATTCAGATGCTGCCTAAGCTTGTTAGCAAATGTCAAATCTGTACCATTTGGGAAAGTGGATTCCTCATCTAAAAGGGATAGCAGCCCTAGTGGTTTCTGCACAAACATAAGAAATAAATAATGCAAATTTCTAACCATAATGACCGAAGTTCCAAGCAAATAATAAATGCTAGATGAACAATTTGGTCCTGGATTATCAAGTGAAAAGCTAGTTATGGGAAATGACAAATTTGTTGCACGGTAGTCCTTCGGGCCTTGTTGGGCCACTTGAGGAAAGAAATAACAATTGACAAATTTGCCTCTTTCTGGAGCTAACTAGTGCACTGTCCAACCTTTGGGGCTCAAGTTAAGTAGGCCAGAGTCACTTACAATCTGGAGATCATGCTACGTCAGTCAAGAATTAAAGTATAATTTTCGTAGAAAATTTTATTTCTTAACAATTTCTGTAATATCATTACTTAAAACTAAGGACGAATTATTTCTACCAAAGCATCACAAACTTGACAAAAACGCCTTACAAGATCAATCAGATCTGAAAAGAATGCAGGTGAAGTATTCAGAATTCAGTATCCAAAAAAGAAAAATCCTCCTGAGGAAGTTCCCCATAATTACATCCAAGATTAGTTTAACTACACAGACAGATTTAGAGTACACACACACACCAAGCTCTGAACCAGCAGCATTCCTATACCCAACTCCCCCTATAGAAAATACTTCCAACTTAGTTGATAAAGAAAGCTTAGAGCACATTATTCTGATTAAGCATACCTTTTCGAAAAGATTAAGGCAGTCTTGATTGTCTTCAAATTCAACTTTAGCCCAGTCAATGCCATCCTGTACATATTCCTGAAACACCGGCATCCAATCCACAAGTATAAGATTATGATTAAAGATAAGCATTCAATATTTTCAAAAACAAAAATAAACCTTCAACTTTCTAGGGAAGCATTCAATAGGATGGTTTCCATAGCCATGGAGGCTGCTAAATGGTGTTAAAGAATTTAACAAATTATCGAATGATCTCACATATCCTCCTATTAGTGACATATGAGCAAAACACAAACTTGCGTTCCATACCTCTTGTTCTAACTTGAATAAGTGACGATTAAAGTGTTGTTGCAATCTTTCATTCGCATAATTTATGCAGAACTGCTCAAAACTGTTCCTCTGCAGATATAAGAGACAAATGAGTAGCACATAAAGAGGGAAAATATTTCAAAACTCAAACAAACAAGGATGTTAACATACCTCAAAAGATTCAAATCCATAGATGTCTAAAATACTGATTGATCTACCAGTGCGTCTTTTACCAACAGCAAGTGAATTGTTTATTTGTTCAACCAGCCAATCAAACAAACATGCATATATTGATTTTGCCAAAGCATCTCTTGCATCAATTGCCTAGAAGAAAAATGTAAAATTTAAGTAAAGGAGGAAAACAAAGAGCATCATTAAGGTATATTCATTATGAATATCACAGAAACAATGATAGTCCAATCCATCTATGCTGTGCATAACTCGCCATGGAGTTTTGATATACCCAAATGAAGTCATGGTTTGGTTCAGCGCTAGCGTTTTCATCTTTTTCATTTCATTTGATCAATATAGCCTATGGATGAGGTTCAGCGTAAGTTTTTCCTCTTTTCGCACCTCCTTTAATCAGTATGACCTATGTAATAAAGTCACGCACAAATTTCCCAATGTGTTTAAGCCTTCTTAGCAAAGGGAACTTAGGCCCCGTAAATGAACTTTACAAATCCAATAAGCTACCTCACACAGCCCTAATAATGCTATAGTAACCATGAGCTATTGCAAAAGTATTCACATTTCGAATGTCGGCTGGACTACTGAGAAAGATAAAATATGAAGCACCCTCATCACCAGTGATTCTCGTTTAACTTCCATTTATTCTGATATCAATTACCACTAATTCCGTATGCTGATTGGAGAATGCAAGAATTACGTTGTTTAGATCCTTCCAAACAAGTTTGGGTTTTTCTCCATACAATAATTTAGGCAAAGGAAATTTGACACTCAATTTACCTGTGGTAGCGTCAACTTTTGGACAATGTTGTCGTTGCCAGCTTTCATTTTGCGAGTTGATAAAGTCAACTTCAGATCTCCAATGTCACAGCCAATCAATTTAGCAACGTTGAACAAACCTTTAAAAGTTTTCAATTAAAAATGTACTATTAGGTGAGGTGACGAAAGCTTTAGAAGAAAAATTAATAGTAACTAATAACAAGCGAAGGATATAAAATATTTTCAAAACTTAAATATTAGGCAACAAACGAATTTGGGCAACAATCCATGTAAGCGTAATATATGTTTATATGCCTGCCACGTAAGATCCAGGATTTCCAATGCCAGAAAGGCATCGCTATCATGATCTGTAGTCTATCATGCAGAAAATATATGTTTGTAGATGCTTTCGGTAGAGTCTGGAAATTTCTTACCCTCATCCTCTAAGGGTTGAACATGATTTTCATTATCAATCACAGTAAATGATATGTTTCCTAGCCATAACACTGCAGCAAGCATTGCAAATACATTCTCCTGATTTTCTTTGCTGACGTGGACAACATCTAAGGCTTCCTGGAATTTATGATGAGCTCAAATGTATATTAAACCACATTTTTAGAAGGTCAAATCACTTGTGACTGTAATCCTCAAAAGATAGGGTACCATGACTATGCGAAATTCTTCCGCATCATTAACACCAGTAATGGAGAAACAATTGCTCTGCCTCAGATATTTGTATTCTTCCGCACTTCGTAGATTTAGCTTCTCTGAGTTATAAAATAAGAGCAATAATAACAAATAGGTTAGACAAATATACCAAGTTAACTTACTGAAAGAATAATGTGGCGAAGAAAATAAAGATAAAAAGGCACAAAACTTGAAAACTAAAAAATCAATTACAATAATACCGCACATGGAAGACTATTTAGAATTCTTTTTAGTTTGTGACTTGAGTCCAAATGCTTGTAAGTTGATAGACTGGGAGCAAGAAATTTGTCTGTCATTTAAGACAAGGAAGGTAGGATTCTTAAGACATGACAAAAAGCTAATGTCTTTATTCTTCTCAAGAACTGCAATAACTCTTATTAGACATCGAGTGGTGGTCTTCAAAATGCTAAGTTTCTATGGTAAAATCTGCATAGCTGGTAGCATTGGCTTATTTTCTGCAGTTCGTTAGAGTTTTGCATTTTAAGAATAAATTCCGAAAAGCTTGGGGACTCATCACTCCAGTGATAGATTCTTAGTGATTCCTTGTGTGACTTGGGTTTTGACTCTTGAGAGATAATTTCGATGTTCAAAAATTGGAAAAGCTCTCTCAAGCTCTGGAAATACTATATTACAGGGGAGGTTTCTGTCTTGTCTGCTGTGGTCACCTACGCCAAAATGAACCTGTTTCTGTAGAATTTTTAGGTGCACTACAAGTGCTCTATGGCTACGTATAGAAAATTTTAGGGTCAAACAACCACTATTATAAATGTTGCAGCCACACTTATATTCTGCACGAACATCCTCAGATAACATGTCTGCACAAATGCCTCTTACTATTTTTGTCCACAATATGCAACTACTACATAAAAAGAGGCAGGTTAAGCGCCAATAATTACCCCTCAGCGAAGGCGAAGCCCCGGCACACAGCTGATAGAAAATATGATATGACCTTTCCCCTTCATTGCATTGGACTACTCTAGACTGTTCAAATACCAAATCAAAACAGCGCCTGGTTATGTACTACGGGCAGAATATAAAACTTAAAATAGCTCACAGAAACGAGCAAGTACCTTTTCCAGCAAAACTGCTTATGGTTATGCAGGGAACACCACATAGATTCGACATGTGAATAGAAACATAATAGTTAAAACCTTGAAAGTTCAAACGGAATCAGGGACAGTGCTTTAACCACAAATGCAGCAGTAAACTTACATGTCTGAATATTTGCACCCGATATTTTTCCAGTTTCACTGAAGTGAATCTCAATAAGTTTCCCCTGTCACAAATTTGGTTAAACTATGAGAACTTTCTACGACAAAGAATATAATATCAAAGTTAAGCACGAAGAGAATCGCTACTGCTCCATACACTCAAGAAGGGTGCACTAAGAACCAATATGATGAATAGGGAATCTTACAAAACGACTTGAGTTATCATTTCTCAATGTTTTTGCATTGCCAAAGGCTTCTAGTATTGGATTAGTCTTTAATATCTCATATTCTATTCCACTTCCGCCTCCAAGGGCAGCCAGGTACTGCATTGCTATCTTTGCTGTCTCAGTCTTGCCTGCTCCACTTTCACCACTGAATAGTAGACCGTAAAATTTGTTACTGACCCCAGTTTAAATTGCATAGACAACTAATGATCGCAAATGGAAAGGTCCACTGCTCACTCAAGTTGCAACTAAAATAAAACTCAGATTGCATAAGCTTCTAGCAAAGAAAATAACTAAAACATCCGACAATTTGAGATGAAGAATGTAGCAGATACTTCTGGGGAAAAAAGCCATAATCATATTCAAATAAGAAACAACACATCAAACAGAATCCCAGGCATTTATCTTATCATGTCACTGTATGTAGTTTAGGTGGTAAGCAGCAACGTATAAAAGTGAATTCATAAGAAGGATACATGAAGGTTATCAAAAGTCCAGTAATTTACTGACCTTATAATTATAGATTGATTCACTTCATCTGGAAAACAAAGCAAAGATCAAGTAAGTGTTTCATGCTTAAGACAATTGACAGAGCTCTTCACAATTACAGCTGATATGTATGCACATATATGGAAGGGTAAAACAAAAAAGAACCTCTTCTCATTTCCCGGATGGCTGTGTCTGTAATGGCATATACATGAGGACTTTCCATAGCTTTATTCTTATATGCTTTAATATAATCATTTCCATACAGAGGAACTTTCTTAAACGGATTTACTGCAACCAAAACAGGCCCTGCTTTTGTCTGAATTGCAGATAGTTATACAAACAAAGATGTTAAATTAGGTGGAGCTCACAAATTCAAGAAAATACTTCAAAGAAAAGAAAACGCATACATAAATCATATTTCGGTTGTATCTGTATTGCAGATTGTATAAAACTGATGGTTCATTCAAATAACTAAGCTGCATAAGGTCATCCACTCCATCAAGAATATCAGGGTTTGCCGGAACCAAACTTTCAGCTTTAACCCTTAAAACCTACAATTAAGGGAGAAAGGGAGTATAACTAATCAGATGCTGGGGATAAACAATAAAGAGCATCACTCTTTTGAATTTTTAAAGCTTTGCTTACTTTTCCATCAGGCAATGTGATAACCGATTCAGCCCCAGAAGTGGATATTATCTTCCCCAGCTCCCAATTCCCATTCGGAAGTTGAAACCAAGAATGAATCTTCTGAAACATTGAATTTCAGAACTAAGGAAGATGAACAATAAATGTTTGATTATCAATTAATAATGACTTGCGTACAAAACAATACTCTTTCTGGCTAACAAACAAATAATTAACATTAAAAAAAAACATATAAAGCATTGAATAGCACATCCTTCCCTGAGAAAAGAATATTTACGCACATCCAAAAATGTTCAGAAACTAAGGATTTAAAGGAAAAGGGTACAGATATTATTCTTTGACGACCAAATGCTGACAAGAAATATAAGATATGAAAATCTAATTTTGCAAGAATTACTCTTTTCCATGAAATTTCAGCAGACAAGACAAAATAGTTTGACTCAACAAAATGCAAGGATTTTTCCTACTGGGAATTTGCACTGATTTCTGATGCTAATGCTAGAGGCAATAAACCCAATATATATGTAAGCCTTCCATCAGCTGTTTCTAAATTTCAACATCCTTCAAAGTACCAGTCCAACTGAACATTTAGAAAGATAAAGCTACATCATATATCAGTGAATATCAACCGTCAAAAAGTCTTGTTTCCTACACATCGCCACAACTTTCATGAGTACTATATTTTTTACTCTCCAGTTGCTTTAATGATGGCTAAGCATGCGTTTCCTTAATCTAACATTTATCTTCATTCTTCAATAAACAACTTATTCTGACCATGTTTCCAAATCTGAAACAAAATTTGACACTTCATCAAAAGAACAAAAACCGGTATGAATATGGTGGTTTACCACCATTATTTCTACATCTTAGACAATTTCAGGTCTAAAAAGAATTCACTCGGTTCTAAGCATCTGCCTCGCTGTAAAGATATTCTACAACCTACAAACCTCAACCACTTATAACTCCTATGACTTTGGAGGCACGTACAACAACTGTTTTAAGCATCTATTTTATGGGAAAGATATCAGTAGTTTAAATTAAAGATTACTGAAAGGCTCCTGAACACAAGTAACACAGTTGTGTGAGATCTTATAAGCAATATAAATAACCTACAACTTCTTCAATTGTACGCTTTCCTTAAGCAAGTAGAAAAACTGACGGAAACATGCATAAATACATGAAGAAGTAACTTAATATTTGTGTATATATGAAATAAGTATTAATTAATCACCGATAATACAGAATAATCACAGAAAGATGTTTACACCCAAATAAAAACAAAAGTAGAGTTAATTCCGTAATGTTTGAGACATTATTCCAGGATAATGAAGCTATTCATCAAACTTGGGTGCTGAACGTTATAACACAAGTGTGATTAACTGATTAGAAAACAAGGAGAGTGAAATTGGAATCAAGAGCCAAAAATACCTTCTTTGAAGGATAAGGCGTAGTATCACTCCACCTGTGGTCATTGGACGATGGGGAGATTGAAGGGAGTGGATGGGAAGCAGATTCTGCGCCATCATCACCAGGTGAGGGCCTGCTTTCTAACGACGTAGTTCTTTCACCATATGGTGAATCCTCATCAAAAAGATCCATATCACCAGCAAGGTCTTGAACTTCCTCAGAAACCTCTCTTCCTAGTGCATCATTTTCATGTTTTTCCCCAAAAGCAAGTGTTGGGTCAGTTGTGAACTTGACATTAGGTTGCAATGCTTCGAAGGACTGGAAAGCAGGGAATAGCCCAGATGTCTGAGACATTTTCCTTTAAGAGTCCTGCCACCACAAATAATAGTTACCCTCGACAATTGCAAATGAGGTAAAGATTATTATTTAAAAAGGGTTCACTTTTTGAAGCAAAAAGGCCGTTCCCCACTTCTAACAAGGTCCCATTCAAGATGCAGACTCCACTCTTTAGTGCTCCTGAATTGTCATAGGCACGTTTCTAACCTCATCCTAAGCTGTACATTATCAATCTGACACAGCCATGGCCCAACGTACCTAGTCTAAGGACCTTGAAGATCACGTAATCTAAACCTCACGATCTAAAACTTGACACGTTTAAAAGTCGAAATGGTCTTCAAGATGCAATCCCTTTTTGGAAAATGGTGAAAAAATTGCTCCAGCTGATCTTTTGTTTCGCTAGAACTGAGCATGTCAAGACAAAGTCCAAAATTTTGATCTAAGTTTTTTTTTTCCTCCAGGAGACAATCAAAGCAAAAAACTTTACTTGAATTCCAATGCCCCAAGTTGAAACCAAAACAGACGACCAAAGGGGCAAAAAAAAAGGAACAAAAGGGACTCAGGTTACCAAGTCTCAACCGCTCCAATTTTTTCTCCATCATTTTTTCTCAGCAACAGGAGGACACTGGAATAGAAAAAAGAAAAAGCAACAATGCAAAAGCAAGCTGAAAGACACACATAAACGCACCTAATTTGTCCGATTATGCTTGAGCCGATCTACCAGCCTTAGAAAAAGCAGATGAAGCTGCGAACAATCTGTGAAGACGATTGCAACAGCAATTCAGAGAGCATGGCCAAGAAGATCAAATGACAGCAAGAACTTGAAGAGAAAGATCTTGAAGGATGGAGAATTGTGCAAGGTGAAGTTGAGGCAGGAAGAGTCTGACAGGAGGTGTTTGGCTGATGGAAAGTTGAGAGAAGAAAATTATTTTTAAAAAATAATATGCAAACGATCGCAGGCGAGGGAAGGAGCAGCAGCTTTTTTGTCTTTGCCTTTTCTCTTCTTCTCAGAGCTGAAAACAGTTAACCAAAAAAAAATGAAGTTTTAAGTAAATGAAATAAAAAAAATTGAATAAATAAATCAAATTGAAAAGGGACATTCAAAGCACGCCAATACCTTTGGAAACTTTGAACTGGTTGTAATGACGGAACTACCCCCATCTGGGGAAAATGGCGGTTCCGAGAGGCGGGTGCTTTCAATTCAATGCTCGTTGTGTTTGTGCCCACCAATTTTTTGACTCGTGTTCTTCCGTTTAAGCGTAAGTTGGAAAAAAGACCAATGGCTGATTTTTTTCAAAACAATTACTATTTCCGGTTTTTAATATAAAATTCTATTTGACTTTTATTTTAGTCTTAAATATAAGATTCTAATCCACTTTGTCTCTCATATTTATATTTTTTTTTTCAAAATAATCTTTCTAACAATGATAGTTCTAGTCAATATTCTTGATTAGTAAAGATATTTTAAGAAAGACAACACCTATTTATGGCAAATAACTAACTCAACTTATTTTCTTAATCTCTTCAAATTAGTCAACTGACTTTTATAATTAAGACCGGAGGTAGTACTAAATTTAAAAACATTATTATTGTAATACAAAATAAAATCTTATGCTGACAAAAAAAGTGATATTTTGAAAGATTTGGAACAACCATGATATATTGGATAGTTTGGTTTTGGGCGAAATTAGGTGGTTTTTGGTTTTTTTTTTTTTTTTTTTGCCAAGAGGTCTTTTCTGAGGTTTTGGCGGACAAGTGTATGTGTTGTGAAATTACTTAAAGAAATGCAAATAGTATTGGTGTTTTTAATCAAAGAATATTATTGGTGGACAGGCGGTTTGAAAGAGACAATGATCTTAATCCCATATGCTGTAAATATGTCCTTATTTTTGGCCTGATGCAGTCCATACCTGATGACCCAGTCTTATTTATTTAAATTATATGGACAAACGCGTAGTATATTGTGCATTTTAAAGTACATTATTTAGGGGTATCTAAAGAAAGCCAAATCATAATTTTAAAAATAATTTTATGGTATGCAAATTAAATATGAGAAAAAAATTTATTTCGATTTAGATAAAATACTTTTTTAAAATGTTTTTTACAAAGAAAGCAATCACCAAACATAAGATACTAGTTAGTAGTTACTGTGCCAGAACTTCATGTTTCATCAGTCCATAAAGTTGACCTGTTACTTTCAATTCTTAATATAAAAACTAGTTGACTAATTTGAGTAGATTAAATAAACTAGTTAAATTAGTTATTTGTAATAAATAGATGCTATCTTTCTTAAAATATCATTACTAATCAAATATATTGGCTAGAACTACCATTATTACAAGGACTATCTTGAAAACAAAAATAAATAAATATGAGAGACAAAATGAATTAGGATCTTATATTTAGAATCAAAATAAAAGTTAAACAAACTCTTATATTAAGAACTGAAGGTAGTATTTGTTTACACACACCCAGGAAAAAAAGTATTTGTCCGCATTGTATTTAAACGCTTTGTATTTAAAATCATGTGTTTTTTTTATATTTTGCCAGCAATCATGCTATTATTTCTTATTCAAATCACTCAAAAGCACTTTTCAAAAAACTATTTTTATGCAAATCGAAATAAAATTATTCTCACATACTTACTCTATATATCTAATTTAGTTTCTGTGTTTGCCCAAACTTCAACCTTATACTTATTTTTAATCAGTTCTTTTTTAGTATAATCTTCTGTTGGTATTTAAAGATAGTTATTTAATATTTGTTTTTTAGAAGGTGCTTGAGTGGAAATAAAATCATTGTTTTAAAAATAATTTTACGATATACGAAGTAAATATATGAAGAAGTTTGTTTTGTTTTGTGAAGAAAAAAAATTTAAAAGCACCTTTTGGTGTTTCTAAGCACCCCTTTAATTGTATTCTTGAGACTGAGTAATTAACTCTTGCTAACATGATTAACGTTAACATGTGCTCCATGTCCGTCCATTCAAAATTATAAAAAACATTCTTTCTGAATAATGTGTAGTTTTAAAAAGCATTAACTAGTTCGTTAAAAGTATAAACTAGTAAAAAGTATCTTACGGATTATTGATGTTATGTTTAGGGTCCGAGATAGTACATTAATAAATGAGGACCCGTGATAGGCATTCCTTGGTTCATGACATGGGCATTCTTCTCTCAGAATGGTTTGCTGAAAAATAGAATAAGCACATTTTGATAATACCTAGAGTATTTAATACTCCTCCGGTCTTTAATATAAGACCTATTTGACTAATTTGATTAGATTAAGAAAGTTAGGTAAGTTAGTTAATTATAAGAAATGTGACATGTTTTTCCTAAAACACCATGATCATCTTTCTTAATACCTTTCTCCCTCTTCTACTTGAGTATGGTTTAGAGAATATCTATAGGGGTAATTTAGAGAAAATTGATAAATATGAGAAATGGGTCTTATATTTAGAACCAAAACCAACTCAACAATTGGGTCCTATATTAAGGACCGGAGGAGTAGTTAATACTCTTCCGGTTCTTAATATAAGACTCATTTAACTAATTTGATTAAATTAAAAAAGTTAAGTAAGTTAGTTAATTATAAGAAATGTGACATGTTTTTCTCAAAACACCATAATCATCTTTCTTAATACCCCATCCCCCTCTTCTACTTGATTATGGTTGAGGGAGTATCCACAGGGGTAATTTAGAAAAAATTGATAAATATAAAAAACGGGTCTTATATTTAGGACAAAAAGCAACTCAACAACTAAGTCCTATATTAAGAATCGAAGGAGTAGTTTGTTTTTGTGGACAATTAAACTTTATAAGTAACTGATTTATTATAATTGAGAGTGTAATGAATTTTGACAGCATTATGTTCGAAGAGTTTAACAAAATTCTTAATTTTCTTTTTGACGATTATATGTTTTTAGCCTGGCGGTAATTAAGCATACTTATATATATTACGAATGGAAAGAATAATTCATGTCGGCGCTTGCAGCTAGGTAGGAGGTTATTTAAATAACTATCGGTGTTTTCTTTGGTTTTGTTTTTGATCATTAGAAAACAACACAAATCTGCCTATTAATTAAGGTACGATGATATTTAAATGAATAAACGTTAAAATTTTATGTATGCTGAGATTAATTAAACTTGTTGATTAGATGTTTGATCTAGAAAACATGAAATTTTCATAATTATAATTGTAAATTAAATCCCTAAAACAATAATAATAATAATGAAAGTTCAAGGAACGGGCGGTGGTGGTCCAATGGCGATAACCTAATCATGTGGGACTAATAATTGAGTTATAAAGCTGGCCACAAGATTAAAAAAGTGAGTTTTAAAGAAGGTTCATAGTCGCCATCCGATCCATGGATTGGATTGACATTTCCATTATATTCCCTTCTCACCCCCTCAAATAAGTTACTCCTCCGGTTAGGGGTGTTCAAGGCCGGCCCGTCCCGGTCGGCCCGTTCCGGTCCCGGTCTTATTGGGACGGGACGGATCCGTTCCGAAATTTTTTGGGACGGGACAAACCGGGACGGGACAAAAAAGGGACCGGGACAGGACGGGACACGGGACGGGGTCGTCCCGTCCCGGTTCCTTTTTTAAAAAAAAAAATTAATTTTTTTAATTTTTTATATAATATCATTTTTTTCATTTTTTTTTAATATTTGAGACTATTGTATGGAACTATGGATATATTTATTTAGAGTTTTTATATTTGTTAATGATTTGAGATTATTGATGATTAGAATTTTTAGCAAGTTTTTATTGTGTTAAAAGCTTTTGTTTAGAGTTTTTAATAACTATTATATGTAATATTTTGAGCTTTTGTTTAAGAGTGCCCAAACAAATAAAAAAGATGTTTTTATAAAATTTAAGCTCAAAAAAATATAATTAAAAAAATCAGATTTTTTAAAAAAAAATTAAAAAAATTAAAAAAAAATAATTTCGGGACGTCCCGGATCCGTCCCGTCCCGACCGGGACCGGGACAACCCCGGGACGGGCCGGGACACGGGACAGAAATCTGTCCCGTTACTGTTCACCGGGACGGAACCGGGACGGGCCTGTCCCGGTCCCGATCCGTCCCGTGAACACCCCTACCTCCGGTCCTTAATATAGGACCCAATTGTTGAGTTGGTTTTGGTCCTAAATATAAGACACATTTCTCATATTTATCAATTTTCTTTAAATTACCCCTATGGATACTCCCTCAACCATAATCAAGTAGAAAAAAGAGGGGGTATTAAGAAAGATGATTATGGTATTTTAGGGAAAATGTCTCACATTTATTATAATTAACTAAATTACCTAACTTCCTTAATTTAACCAAATTAGTTAAATGGGTCTTATATTAAGGATCGGAGGAGTATTACATTCCATTACTTCTCAACTAGCAAAGCAAATGCTACATCCGCTTCAAATTATAATTACAAAACTTTGTTTATAGATTATAAATAAAATCTTATAATCAAGATCAGAGATAGTATATTTGTTTATATTCTCATGCTTTCCAGTTTAATTAACTAATTTAAGTAAATTAAAAATATTAGTTAAATTAGTAAATATGGTGTATTTTAAAAAAAAAATTATCGGCATCTTCCTTGATTCCCTCCATCCCTCTCCCACTTGATTATTTTTGAGAAAACATTAATAGTATTGATTAAGAAAAAAAATTAATAAACATATAAAATAAGTTTCACATATAGAACTAGCATTAACTTACCAATCAACTCCACATTAATAACAGGAGGAGTATTATATCATGACACATAATTATAATGTCATTTCGGAGGAACTATGTTATTGTTTACATTTAATTGACATTCGTTGGCAAAAGAATGATAAAGTTTTTTTTTGAAATTATGGTAGCAGGCTATTTTCTTTAGAAGCGTATTTATTTTATTTTTTAAAATGAGAAATTGCTAATTAAGCAGATGTTTATTCTTATCTTCGCACACTTTCTTTGATATGATAGGTTCATTGCAGAGAAGATGC